AGCACCATGGTGAACATGAGGTACTTGCCCACCAGCGGCACGTCGAGGGACGTGGGCGGCACGATCTTGGAGATGAGCAGCAGGAAGACGGTGAGCGCCAGCAGCACGGAGATGCACAGCGTCATCTTCTCGCCGCAGTCGGACGGCAGGTAGAAGACCAGGATGGCCAGCGAGGTGATGAGCACGCAGGGAATGATGAGGTTGATGGTGTAGAAGAGCGGCTTGCGCTTGATGATGAAGTCGTAGGTGATGTCCACGTACGTGGAGTCGTCGGGGTTCTCGTTGCGCCGGCCCGGCAGCGCCACGATGTCCCACTCGCCGCTGGGCGTGAAGTCGTCCAGGCTGGCCACGTCGCTCTTCAGCACCAGGTCGATCTCGGTGCGGTCGTAGGTCCAGGAGCGGAACTTCATGGTACAGTTCTGCTGGTCAAAGGGGAAGTGCTTTACTTCGATCTTGCAGGCGCTCTTGTAGATGGCGGGGGGCAGCCAGAAGATGCTGCCGTCATAGGAGACCACGGCGTTGGAATAGAAGGACACCTCGTACATGCCATCAGCACTGCCAAGGGATGAGAGGAGTCGGCCCTGGCCTCAGGCGCCCCCACCCCACCCATCAACCCAGCCCTGCTCGCCAGGCGGGGGGAGCCAAAGGGAGATGTTGGAGGGGAAACCCAGGCCCGAGGGTACCCATCCAGAGTACAGGGCGGTGGAGCAGGAACTGAGCGAGACCGGTATCTGGGTGGTTTGTGGGGAGAAGAGGTGTTCCCTGGAGGCCCCTCAGAGATGAAGAACTGGATGAAGAGGGACAGGGACACGTCTGCTACTTGTTACGTATTGTGTAAGTTGTTTGTTTCACGTGAGGGTGGAGAAACTGGGGGAGCCAGGGAGGCCAGAGTGAGGCACCACAAGTAATGGAGGGGGACAGAGGCAGGTGGGAGCAGGAGATGGTCCCACTAGTGGTTTTGGATCTTGGAGGTAAGAGGGGTTATTTCAGGAGAGGGGATGGAACCTGGAGGAGAAACTGAGACCTCCAAGTTCTCTAATCCTGTCCAAGCCTCCAGGAAAGCCTATTCTTGAATCAGTTTAGGCCCTGGGGGCTGGCAATCCTTGTTTGCATCCCACTGCAGCTCCAAACACTGGGACTCCTCATTGGCTGAGAGGGGGCTGACCATGGGCCAAGTCACCTTGGCTGTCCATATTATACCTCACTGGTCTGGGTCTGTCTATCTGGGTAATAAATGCATCTATGCCAAAGAAAAATCTCTTCTCTACACCCAGCATGAGCTGATTTACTTTCCCTAAGACCCCTTCCTTCTCTAAGCACTCCCATGGTCTCCCCCAGCCTTACTATTGCTCCCAAGTCACCTACTTGTTGTATAGGACCACATCTGGGAGCCAGATGTGTTTGGAAGGGAGTCGAACTTTCTTCATGTTGTCGAACTCCTCAGGCTTCCAACTGAGGCGATAATCTTCCCATTCCTGGGAAAGGGAGAGAGGGAAGCAGCACCAACCTCTGCCCTGAGAGGGGCTCAAGGTCAAAGACAGGGACAGGAGGGGGCCCATCTGGCTTGAGGAAGGTTTTCAAGCCATCACCTTCCCACAGTGACTTCTCTGCCCAGCAAATGTGACTCATAAAATGCTTTCTCATTTAATTTTCACAGCTAAGCCAAGATATAAGAATCTACATTTTACAAATGAGAAAATAAATCTTGCAGAGTTTAACATGTTCAAATCACAGAGCTGGTGCATGGAAGAACCAAGATTCAAATCCAGTTATTTAGGACTCCAAAGTCTATACCTTTCTGCCTCTCTTCAGGGGATTAAAAGAGGAGAAAGCACTCAGGGAAAAGACAAGAAAAGAGGAAAGGAGGAAAGAGAAGACCAGGGGTATGGGTGGGAAGACCACTAACCTGGGTCAGCCAGACATTAGTGGTCATGATCTGCTCCCGCTCATGCTGCAGGAAAGGAGAAGCTGCTGAGAAGACCCTCCATCTTGTGGGCCCACCACAACCACCCATGGTTCCTCCCACACCTCCTAAATCTTGGGAACTCCAGAGGAGTAAGCACAAACATGAACACATTCTGGCTGTGTTGACTTCAGCAGCTGGGCGGAGAGTTTGGGACCCCCACTCACCACACTGATGAGCTGGGCCAGTGATACCATGAGCTGTACCGTCACCAGCTCAGAGCCATTGGTGGCTGGGCGGATAAGCTTGTTGTAGCGGGAAGGATCCAGGAGATGCTCCACCAGCCGCTCCTCTGTGTCTGTGCCCCAGACTCCTGGGCAGGGGTTGAGGGGCAGGAGGTAAGTAAGTAGGCAAGAAAGGTCCACCCAGGATCCCACTCTCCCTAGGCAAATGGGGCAGCCCAGGCCCAAACAGGAGGCTGTAGCTTCCCAACGATCCATCCCTAAGGATACATCAGAATGCTTAGGTTACCCCATGAAGGCCCCTCATAGAGAAACTCCTCCCTGAGATCACTGACCAAGTGGCCCCAACAGCCCTACACAGATTCTTCCAGACTAAGAAACCATTCTGCAAGGATTAGTGGAGACCTGCTCTTCCTGCAAGGTCTCAGAGGGTGGTTTCAAGAGAAATCCATGTTTCCATGGCTTCTCCTAGAAGATATCTACAATTCAGGAAAGGTTTTGGAGGGTGGTCAAAAGGGAACAGTTATTCATGTCCCACCACACACGCTTTCCCCTCAGTCAGTGCTCATCTGTGCATGCAAGTCCCATTACGTGCCTCCACATGTGGAAGTCTCATTAGGTTGTACATTCCCTTTGCTCCTGCCCTTCATACATTCTATCACCTTCCATAACTCTGCACAAACACACCCCACCCCCTCAGAGTGCTCCTCCCTGGCCCCCAGCGCTCATTCCCTTTCAAGTCTTCTGTCGCACCTTATGAGACAGTTGAAAAGTCACCTCTTTCCCCCTCCTGCCTTGCCCCTGGGGAGTGACCAGAATCAGGAGCCCAATGTGGTGGACAGGAAATGATGGAGAGCCAAAGGAGGGTGCTGAACCAGGTACATTTCTTGATATAATGTTCCCCAAGAAGTCAAATGGCATCTCAGCTGCAGAGACTGCTCTCCTGCTGCCCTAAAAAGCCTGGGGCGATTGCCCTCCCTCCTTCCTCTGTGTGTCCGCACCCTCCCCACCACCACTGCCCAGGTTGCTCTCTCTTCCGTGCATTGCTTACTCCTTAGGGTATGTCCTCCCAGTTCCGTCTCCCAGGGGCTCCCTGCAGGCCCCAAGGTCTCTCCCCTAACCCCCAGCAGACCCCCCACCTCTAGGAACCCCTTCCCTCCACCTTTGAGCCTCGCCGGGGTGAGGCGGCACAGCGACCTGTCATTACCTGAGCACAGCCGGAGGAGGCCGAAGGCG